ATAAATGAGAATTCATGATAGCTGCTTTAAGCCAACTAGTTAAAATCTGCGGTACTTATCTTTGGCAATGTGCTAACCCTATGGTATTCGACGTTCGAGAAAAGCACCAATTAGTATTGATAGACCGAGACGCTTAGGACAGCGAAACACACTGTTCAAGGAACAGAAGGATACGTTTCTGATATAAGTTGGAATGGTGGGGAATTCCATTGGCACCAAGTAATCTTAGTGTATTTAGTGAAGAGGAATGACATCCGACACATGACTCTACACTAGTACAGCCGTTCTCCCACCAATCTTCCAAAATTCTCTTCTAATTCTCTTCCTCTCTCCTATTACCGACCAAAAGAATTTACACCAAAAGAATTTACACCAAAATCCGCATCAACACAAAAATCATTCCTGACAGTATGTTGATTCTCATCTCATTCTACAGTTTGTTCATTTTAGTCTGGAGATCTACACCTCCGACGGCGTGCAACCCATGGGTGCATGAATGGCCATTCTACTTTGGTACACATGAGAACTGCGATGGGCACATTGAAAGCACTTTTGCATTGTGCGTTATTGGCATAGGGTTTCTTATGATGACCCTGATAGAGCTTCAATTTTGGCGCGAGCTCGCCTACTTCAATGGCCGTATGAATGGAAAATTCGAAATCTTGGGAAAGTTGGCAAAATTGGATTGAAAGAAGCGATTGGAAGCTACTGAAAAACTTTTGAGAGATCATGGGACTCTTTTGAAAGTTTTTGAGGATAAAGTTGTTGAGGAGGACGAAAACTTTTTGGTAGACCTTGGGTTTGTTAAGAAAGTGGCTGAGGAGGACCTCGAGAAAGACCTTGAGAAGGGCACTCTTTTGATTGAGCTATAGGTGTTCGGGTGACGTGGAGTTAGGGGTACGATTTGGATAATATGAGGGGTGTTGTTATTCTATGGAGATGTGAATACTTTCGAGATTATCTTGAAGTCGAAGGCTGTTTTACTGGGTTTAAGTTTCAAGGAAATTTTTGATTATAAAAGGGATCTCATCTTAGAGAATATCAAGTTTCTTGTGCGAAGATATAGGTTAATGCTGGGGCGTCAAAGTTTAAGATACTCTGGATTGTATTCCAGCAATATCACATCAGCGGAAGAGCGAAGGGTGGGCCTTTGGAAGATCAAATGTATTTCATACATCTCTACAAATGAAACTCAACATCATTGTTTCAGCACAATCTGAAAATCTAGTTTAAGTGATGTATTCAAGATATCTCATATGTCGATGCACTCGTGATTCCAAGAACATCATTTTACATGAACAAATCCAGGAAAACCCTACCCTGAATTCAGGGCGAGATGCTGTAAATTGTGGATAATGAACGACTCTAAGATCTGTGTAAGATTCTTGAGTGCCTGGAATCCTTCATTGTTGCAGGTCTCGACACATCTGGACACGTATTCCACCAGAATTATTCTCCAACTGTATGAACTCCATTCTTCCGATCAGATGTTACGCTCTTCTTCTACCTAAACTTTTTCTAGCACGAATCCAAGGAATTCACAATTTTCAGCTTATTAATATTCCAGCTGCTGGAGAATCGCACAAATACGTGTGTTCTGTGATGTAAATTATCTATACAAAACACCCAAGTATTAAAAGTGTATAGTTCAAAAGGTAAGAGTTCTGATCCTTACTCACCGCACCCCTATAACAAATGTAACAAAATTCCCACAAAAATAAGGTTTTCTTATACAAATTATTATATTAAATATTTCATTCAAATCTTTATATTTTCTTTTCAAAAAAAATTGAAAATGATATATAATTATAATTAAAATATAAAAAATTATTCAAAATATTTTTTATTATTTTTGTTGAATAATTATATATATAATATTGAAATCAAATTTTTTCAAAAATTCTAATATATAATGTTTTTTCTATGTAAAATAAATAAATTTTTATAAAAATTTAGAATTTTCAACTTTAATTTTTTCAAATCCTATTTAAAAACAAAATAAAAAATTTATTCATTTTTTTATAAGATTTGATTAATTAAATAACATTTTTCAAAGAATTTCTAATTTTATTTTTTATTATAATAAATAAACTAAAATATAAAAAATTGAATAATTCTATATTTTAATTGAAAAAGGATTATATATGCGATGAGCAGGGGTCAGAACTCTTACATAGATTATTTACTACCACCTCGCGGACATAGAGTTTCCAATATTCTAAACTGTAATCTAACAATGAAGAGGGTTCGATCTCTCAAACCAAGTGGGCTTTCCAAATCAACGCGAGAGTATTATCACTTTGCTTTTCGGATGCCAGTAGCTAAGAAATATTTGTGAGATTCACGATATTATTATCCAGAATATCGAGAGCATCCGAGATATCGATAAGAGTTCAACTATTCGAAAAGTTCCCGATATCAAATATGATTCGGTCAGTGGATATACTTCACATGGGTTACATTATAGATATCGAAATGATTTCTGCAGAGTATCTAATGATACTAATCTTATCCACGAAGAAGGATGGGATACAAGTATGATCCTGAAGATCGAACAAAATCGAGGAGGCGAGCAATTAATTTAGTATAGACCCACCCTCGAATCATTTCATTCTCCATCACATCATTGCGTATCATATACTTCACAAAATCTTCATCATCTTCATCATCACTCAAAATCCAAATTCAAAAATAAAAATAAGAGACCAAACCAATCAATTGATATCTAAGTTACATACAACACACCATACCCATAAACAATAACAAGCAAGACCAAATCCCCACGCACCATCTATTTCACACAACCGAACCCGACCTCCCAAGCAAAATACAAGTAAGTCAGACAACCCTCCCAAAAACAACAAACAAAGGAAAACTAAAGACAAGAAATCAACTCTCGATCTTTCGAGACCAGCTCTCATTCTCTCACGCAAGCACCCACCATGCACCAACCAGTCTCTAACACCTTCCCTCCGAGAAAACACACTCTCTGCGCTGAGTGGAAACCCATTCACAGGTATAGTTGACACCAAGAGCGCCATTACATCGCTCAGGGCTTCGATACCTACGATGCCGTTATCCACATTTAACAGAAAAAGGCGGTTGTCCAACTCCAAGATGCTGGGTCATCCTCTCTAGCCCCAAGGTATAGCGTATTGTATGAGGTTGTTTCGGAATGAATCCCTTCTGGCGTGTATCTGTAAAAATCGATGTAGTTGTGCTTCTTCTTGTCACTAGTACTCTTTAAATCGATCTTGACATTGCTCTCGTAACCATCCACGCATCCCTGAACTGTATCATTGACTACATCCTTTCCTGGGTTTGCGCCGAGAGGCACCTGCGTGTCCGTCTCGGGAGATGGGTTCCTTTGGTTGTAGTAGCAAGTTACTCGTCCGTTGTCTAAATATGAAATCAAAAGATTGCTTTGTTCGAACTGGGTTTCAAAAGTGTAAACCACGCTAACGTTCATGCAACCGAGGGCGGATGGAACGAGGGCTGCGGCCGAAATGAGAAGGGTAGAGAATTGCATCTTGAAGTAGTTGGTTGAAGTAAAGTGACTGACAAGAGATATTTCTGTAAATGAGTGTGGAAGCGTGGTTGTGCTGTAAAATTCGAAAAATGATTGTTAAGACAAAGGAAAGTATAGAAAAGATTGTTTGATGGCAATGCCGATTGTTGGATGTTTTGATGTGGAAGTGATTGTCGATATGAGTTGTCTACAGAGAGGTTCGACGGTTTTTATATATCTACAATTTGATTCCAAGAATATTTGAAAATTGGGTTCTAGCCGTTTATTTGACCAGGCGCTTGCATTTTTAGACAAGCTAGACCGTATCATCCTAACGACAAAAGGGATCCTTCACAAAGCGTTATCCTTGGGTCAATTCTATAAAGACCCGCTGTCGTCCGAAATTGAGCTTCGGCTTACTTTAAGAGGAATTAACACCCACAGGATGGTCAGCTTGGGGATTAGTTGAGAATCTGACACCGAAGTAGACGGCCGCTTCAGGATTTTCCAATGGCGTCTGAAAGATGGTATGTAAGTGGAGACATACCAATGATCTAACCATGAGAGAACTGGCCAACTTTGACAGCATGAGTATCAAAATATTCTTCTTGTCAACGCATGGCTTTCAAATCGAATGTGATGCCGAGACAAATTCACGGAATTTGTGCCAATCAGAAATTACTTTACACGAGAATGAACTTCGGTAAGCAAATGCTACTACTGTATGTTAGTAAGTTCGGGACCAAGCGAATGCTCCTCCCCGCACTGACCAGCGATCCACCCACGTGGAGGATTAATCGCATCGCTCCAAGTCGCCAGAAATAACTTCAATTTGTGGAGTACTACGTAAGTGTTTCGAAAGTTGGGAGAATTGACGCGACAACACAATCCTACAGCCCTATAGCGGCAAAATCTAGTCTACTATCCTATGTGGTAAGACAAAATCTTGTAAGGCCCGAACCTGCCCATGAATTTGGTCCCGTGGAGCTACACCGAAGCAATGCAACCAACGAATCCGGATATTTTTCGCATAGATTGCTTTCATTCGTGGACTCAACACAGGATATAGAAATAAGGATTATGGTCTCTCACGGACAGCACCACTTGTGCGTCAATGGAATAATAACACAAAAATGGCGAGTTAGTATACGAGCTTGCTGCTATACCTCGTAGAACTGGCAAGTTTATGCTTTTAATCACAGTGCCAACAAACTGTGGTCCTGGTGGAATCCTCACTGGTACCCACTGCAGGCTAAAATACCCAACCTTGATAATTCAACTGTAGAGGTATGGAAGTCGTGGAGACTACCCCTTCCAAAATTCGGGTTGGCTTCACAAAAAGGATTCATGTAAAAATTGTCTTGTATGTGATTTTGAAGCATTGCCTCTTCTTTCCTCGTAATTGTTCTATTTCTGCTAACATTTGCTGAGATTTTCCCAACATCTAGTTTTGGCTGTTTCAATCTCCGTTCCAGCGTCGGGGACAGGTTGTCTAAAAGGCGAAGACTTGATCCTCCAATTTGCTGACTGGCTTTGCCTTTTTAAAGCCCAACCCTTCAGAGGCTTTTTTCATAGCACTGATCATTGGTGGTGGTCCACAGAGCAAAAGTTTAACATCGTCTGCTGGTTTGGGAAGCCATTTCTGCATAACATTAGCATTGATGATTGATTATATCAAAACTTTCCAGATAGACTTACAGTGATCATCTCAGGAGTGACAAAACCAACACCGCCGTCCCATTTCTCGGGTGGGTTATTCAAAACGTAATGAACACGGAAACCCTTGTCCTGAGCAGCCAAACCGTCCAAGTCATCTTTCAACAAAATATCCTCAGGATTAACATTTGCGAAAATTAAATCAACCTCAGTTTTATCTCCAGCAGCTCTGCCTCTAATGACAGCACGGATAATTTGTAACATGGGCGTAATACCGGTTCCACCGGCGATCATACCAAAGTGACGGACCATGTTGGGAGTATAGACCATTGCACCTTTTGGGCCCCGGACCTTGATAGTTTGACCGACAGTAAGGGAAGCCATATGTTTAGAAATGTTTCCGGTGGGGTAGGACTTGATGAGGAGGTCGAAGTAGCCTGGTTGATGATCGCCAGAGACAGGTGTATAAGATCGAACGATTTCCTTGTTTGACCCATCGGGCTGGGGAAGAACAGCGGAGATGGAGATATGCTGACCGATAGGGAGACCGAGGATAGAGGTAGGCTTTGGCAGGCTGAATCGATAACTATGCTCATGTCAGAAACAGTCAAGGCGGCTTAGAGTCAAACTAACATTGCTACATTGTGGGAGATGATGGTTTTCTCCTTGAGCTCAAAATCTTGAAAGACAGTTGGCTTAAGAACTGGAGTTTCTTCTACATAAATTGTCAGTATGTATTACATTACTAAAGACCGCGCGCAAAGCATGAACTTACGGCTCGACCAAATCTTATATCCCCCGAGAACGGCAGCAAGAGCAACGGCGAACGGAAGCCAATCTTTTTTGACAATAAAACATCCAAATATTAAAAGACCAGATGGAATATAGATGCCATCAATGTACGCCTTTGATAGGAACTTATTTGCTGGTGCCGTGCTCATTTTGGCAGATTTGGTGAGAGCTCAAGAAATTGTTGGGCTTTTGTTGCGATCCTTGTACTTTTTGCTCTTTCGAAGATCCCACCGAATGAAGATCACAATATACTTCTCACAGTTTTGACAACTCTCGAGCGTGGCCTTGGAGGGGAGACTCGACTTTGAAGGAAAAGTAAGAGCGGTGGTATTGTAAGAAAGAAGTATAACGTGCCGTTCTTCTCCGCGGGAAAGTCAATACCAAAATAATTTAGCCCAAGTCTGTCATTGTTGATTTTCGGCTGGGGTCAGAGCTCGGTCGCCGAGGTTGCCGAACTTTACCCCGATGAGGATAAGATTTCCTCAACTCGGAGTCCACCAGTAGTCATTCCGATAGATGAAACTACGTCCAAACCTCATCATATTGACAGGGCTGAGTAAATTTCCAAACCAAGGAACTTTCAGCCGCCGTGTGAAGAGATGGGTGAGTCGATTCGTCAGAATGGAGAGAAAGTAGGTGATAAACCGGAAGATTCACCATTTCCTCTCACGGACATAGATAGATGGGTGTTATCACAGACTGACGACGAGTTTCATCTGCATGATTGGGACGAGTTGAAAGAGATTATAGGTGAGCTATCCTCAAGTAAATCGATTAAAAGAGCTTCGTTTCTACGTTATATATAATCGCAAAACATCAGAAGACATAGAAAGGATCACCAGTGTGATGACGATAATCTTCCAGGTTCTATCCTATGCAGCTTTCTCACATGACATTGCATATTGTAACCCAAGTTCATATCTAATTCTTGTCAAGCAACGAATAATCTCTCAATCCTCAAACGAAAGCCCTCTGACCTTCGTCGATATATGTCTTGGTCCACAACTATTAAAGCCGAGTATGGAAGTATGATGAATTATATCCTCCAACATCGACTTCCCTGGGGCTCGCCACCATTCAGCTACATCTCTTCAATCCCATTTGAGAACCCCTCGGATTACAAAATTTTGCTAAATGATTGGCCATACGGTCTCTCGAAAGATGTTACCCATTTTGTGGTCTGGTCAAAAACACCGATCGCCACCGACGATGGGAATGGAGATGTGACGGATGAGAGCCGGAAAATAATTGAAGATTTCGTGAAGAGAACATTTGCTGATAGGTTGGAAGGCACTGATAGAGTGATGTGGTTTAAGAATTGGGTCGCATTGCAGAGTGTCAGAGCCCTTGAGCATATCCATGTCTTGATCAAAGATGTCCAGAAGGATGATATTGAGTTCTGGACACGGAACAAGGTCTAGAACAATGGATATGCACAGGAATGTATCTCATATATACATTGCTCACACCACCTAGTATATCAAAGCTCTATCTTGTATTACCTCGATTGAAACCATATACAATATACTGTCAAACATAAACAGACAAGCGAGTTTACTGTCTCCTCTGCCTTCTATTGCCTGCCATTGGCATTTGTTCTTCGGGTGCTTGTGCTCTCTGACCACCACCCATCATACCCTTTGCTCCTGACCACAGACCAAAAACCTTGTAAAGTCCATATATAGGCACAACGGAGAAGACAAGCCAGCCCCAGTTGCCAAATATAATAACAACAACCAACGATAACCAATGCATCCATATAATATCAAACATATATTCTGTCAATCCTGGTGCTGCAAGGTCTTCTCCTGCTGACACCATCTTGCCAGCTTGATCGAGCTTGGGACGACTGTTCTGTTCAAGGAACCATTCAATAACCCAGGGCGCAAGTGAGAAAAGTACGTATGCCCACATATTCCTTGATCGTATCAAGAAGTGGAAGAGGCAGAACAAAGCATTTGCAAGAAATGTGCCATAATGAAGGTAGTTTAGTGCTTGGATATTGGCCTTTGCTCTGTCTTTCCTCGCTTTTTGAGCCATTGTTTATGAGGTGGAAAGATGATGTCGAATTTGAAGAAGTAGATGTGTGTAGGATCTGGCCTTTTCTAGATAGCTGGGAAACAAGATTAATTCGATATAATGTTGCAGATTGAACAATGGAGAAGTACCTTTTCAGTAATAGAATCCCTAAGCTCTGCTTCTTGAAGGGATCAATCTGGTTAAAGAATTAGGATAGGATGTTGGTTTTCGTAAAGTTCAGTCGTGTCGCTTGTGGTGTACTGGCTGGCTGGACTGGATAATTGAGCTTCTTTGACAAGGCTGAGTCTGCAAGGAACATTTCAGAAGCTGAAGTGCTGCTGTGTACCTCGCTGACTAATACAAAGTTCCCCCAATTGACTGATTGTTGCTGGGTGGATGGTCTGCAACCAATCATTCCCACCGCGATCAGACAAACAACAGAACAAAAATCGAAGAGGTTCGAGGATGAGCAAGGTTTTGATGTTATCCCGAATTAATAGCAAGGAATATTCGACTATAGCCATACAAAATCGTTTGTATTGGATTTTGGATTCATCACATTCACATTTGCATTTGCGCCGTATACAGCCTTCCCCTTTCCTTTGGTCTGGTCTTCTTTATTCTTTACTATAACTTCATCCGACCTTTCCTCCTTCCAAAGCAAATTCACTTCGACACCTATCCACGGTCCTCAGAGTCCCATTTCAGCCTTTGCTTCTCGATCCATACAGACAACGACCGTTTTCTGCCTACCTTGCCTTGTCTTTCCACCTTCATTGTTACATGATAAATAGTAACCAGCAACGCCAACAACTCTGTTTTTTTACGACCTTGCGATCGTATTCACGAAGTTCCTATTTGCTTCCTTTTACCTACTACTTTCGACAACAATACAACCACATAATATTAATCTCATCGATCCTAGGATAGCTGCCGTGGAGCTACAAAAAATTTACATTTATCAGATCGACCAGACCAAACAACAACGCCACGCGCAAGATACCTATTGTTGATTCTTGTTCGTTCTTGTTCGAAGTTCAAGGGGAATAACTAAGGATACCTTTTTGACCAAATCAGTTCGACTATAATCAAAAATCGAAATCGGAAGCTCTGTTGACTTCATGGCGAGAACATCATAACAAACACAAAATTCGCGATTTAGATCTACTTCCTCTTTTCACCATCCTACACAATGCCCTCCTCTAGGAAGGAATCAATCAATCCTTGTATCACGAATCAACTTTGTCAACTCATCTACTACCACATTGATAATAACCTCCTCAAGAACGCCCTGTTCTTCGCAGAACGATTGCATGCATACACCCCGAAAGGTCCCGAATCCTCTTACCTTCTTTCCTTATCCTATTTGCGACTTGGCGATTATGCTTCCGCTTTTGAGGTTGTGAAGAGCCCAAACACTAGATCGGGGCATCTTGGCTGTGCATACATCTACGCGCAAGCATGTCTTGCATTGGGAAAGCTTAAGGAAGGGATCTTAGCATTAGAAAAGAACAGAGGTTGCTGGGGAGCACAGAACTCGTTTGGTAAACATACACAATACTCGCGACATCCTGACCCTGACGCATCTGCGGTTTGTTGTTTACTGGGGAAGCTCTACCGTGCTTTTGATGACAAAAAGCAATCGATCGGTTATTTTGAAGAAGCGCTGAAATTGAATCCATTCATGTGGGATGCATTTACTAATCTCTGTGATATGGGTACAAGTGTTAGAGCCTCGAGTACCTTTAGGATGAGTTTGGAGATGGAGGCAATACTGAAATCGAATACACAAGATCGAGAGGGGCCAATGGAAACATTGTCAGTGGAGGAACCTAGGCCAACCCGCCCTAGCGCACGATCTTACCAGAGTGACCCTACGGATCCTTTCAATAACAATTCTTCGTCTCGATCATTTGCGGGTGGACTTTTTGGGTCACTTGCGACTTCTGCATCATCGAAGCTCGCCGAAAGCAACCCGAGTCTTACGAACCTCCCCGCGACCGGAGGTGTCAGCATTAGTTCTGATACAATAGAAACGCCTACTGGACCTAGCGCCCCCCTCGATTATAGCATTGCACCTAGTCGAAAAGACACCAGTGTGGCATCTGCATTTCCCATCAACATGGAGCCCCCACAGGCCCCCGTTCGTAGAAATCGAACTTTACAGGGCCTTGGTATGGACTTTAGCATGGATGTTCCCAAGATGGGCCGATCCATGACTTCGAAACGACTTCAAAAAGCAGCTGCTGAAATCTCGGAAGACAGTAGCGCGGGACATAATTCTCGACACAACTCTGTTACGGTACCAGGTGGGGATAGAAAACGAACGGTATCCGGACAGGTAGTACCCCGACAACCTTCGGAAGATCCAGGAGCACCTCAGAGAAGAAGTGTCAGATTGATCAACCAATTCCGACCGACAAGCACCAAATCTTCCAGCAATCTTGCGACTGTGGGGCCTGCCGCTGGGAGGGAATTAAAGAAAGCTAGACCTCCGATATCAAAAATGATGCGTCCGGCTGGGTCCTCCACAGCTGGCAGACAGGTCAGTGGTAATCGAAAACCAGTTGAAGATTCTATGGAATTAGACCATAGGGAAGGAGAGATAAGACCCCGGGTATCCACAAAATCTTTTGGTACTAGATCATCAGAATCGGATTCTGGAACCCGAGAGGAAGCTTTAAGATGGCTTCTCGATCTGTTCAAGAAGTTTGGGACTGGTTATTTTTTACTTGCAAGATTTCAATCTCATCAGGCCTTAGAGGCGTTCTCTACACTATCTACCCAACAGCAAGACACTCCTTGGGTGTTGTCACAAATGGGTCGTGCTCATTACGAACAAGCGTCATATACCGAAGCCGAATCCTTATATAAACGAATTCGACAGATAGCACCAACACGCTTTGAGGATATGGAGATCTATTCTACTGTGCTGTGGCATCTGAAGAAAGAAACTGATCTGGCTTTCCTAGCCCATGAGTTGGTGGATTCTTCGTGGCAATCGCCAGAAGCTTGGTGTGCCCTTGGAAATTCCTGGTCGCTCATGCGAGATCACGAACAAGCTTTACGGTGTTTTAAACGTGCCACACAATTAAATCCTAAGTTTGCTTATGCTTTCACACTTCAAGGCCATGAGCATGTAATGAATGAAGAATATGATAAAGCACTTACTTCATACAGACATGCAATGGCTGTTGATAGGAGACACTACAATGCTTACTACGGAGTTGGCAAAGTGTATGAAAAGATGGGTAATTACGACAAAGCATTCATACACTTCGAAGCCGCCTCCAAAATCAACCCAACAAATGCGGTGCTTTTGGGTCTTATGGGAAGTGTTGTCGATAAGAAAGGAAACAAAGGTCTAGCACTTTCATACTTCAAGAAGGCAATTGACCTGGATCCAAAATCAGCGTTGACTCGTTTCAAGAAAGCCCGCTGCTTGATGACAATGGGGAGATTGGAGGATGCCTTAGATGAATTGAAGATCTTGAAAGACTTGGCTCCTGATGAGGCAATGGTTCACTTCTTATTGGGAAGACTATACAAGAGTATGAAACAAAAGGGCGCTTCGGTTAGGCATTTTACCATTGCTTTGAACCTAGATCCAAAGGTATATATATGCAAATGATATTGATCAAAAACCCCATCACTAATTAAAAACAGGCAAGTCAACAAATCAAAGAAGCGATCGAAAGTCTAGAGCAAGGAGATGACGACGACGATGACGAGGCCAGCATGATGGGCTGATTTGTAACGACTGTACTCGAAATCTTGGCCACAATGGATCTCCTTCAAATTACATCGCCCTTTTTGTTTTCGCGTTGCGTTTCGAATCATCTCTTTCAAAGATACACATTAGTTATCGACCTATTATTAACTCCAATCATTCAATGGCCTTTTAATAACAGATGGCTTTATTGCCCCAATCCCACTACTCACACCATAGTTGAGTATTCCTACAAAAACTACAATAAAAAAAGCTGTCAACCCCACAGCAAAACATGATGATACGATAAAACTGGAAGACGAATCGGTTACGATAGGGAAAGAATCTTAGCATTGCATTGGGTTGGCGTTCTTCTTTCCGGCATAGTTTCTCATCACAGATAAGTCGATGGATAGTAAAATTCTTTACTCTTTTTGATCACACAATGCGTCGATTGCATTATATCACTTCGCTAGAATTGCTCTAGTGATGAATGGCCACTATACAATGGCCTGGAAGAGCAATTACAGCGGGACCCAAACATTCAGGGGCGAGGACGACGTGTAAAATGAATTATTGTAGATTATAATCATCTCTTTGAATGAAGGCCCTTGCGGAGGGTCGTAGGTAGGGGTGAAGGAAGGCTTGGAAGAAGGAAGGAAGTTGAAGATTGAAAGAATTGTATCATACTTTTCTACTACAAGAGTCAAGTCTTCCCTGAATTGATGTGATTAAATGTTTGCAACTTATCGAGAAAGGCTGGCGATGTTTTAAGGTGGCAAGTGCCGCGTTATTTATCCTTGTGATTACTTGCTTCTCCGTAACTTTTAGGTGTCGAGGTCGTTCTACCGGATTTTTTTGATGGTGGTTGTTGTAGGAGTAGTTTATGTTGACTCTATTGGTATCTGGATTCTGATGGGTGTCTTTGTTCTTAGTAGAACAAAGGCGTTGTTCTGTTGTGGTCGGATTGTATGAATTTGATATATATATATAGCGAGATTTGCGGAGATTGCTTTGTTGTAATTCTTGGCTTGGACAATGTTCTTGTGGCTACATTGTTCAGGATGCTTTTCAATTAAGGAAACATCCTAGAAATCGTTATCAGCCTGTTATTCAGATCGTGAACAATGTCATTGAGGGGTTGATAAATAATCGGGTGTTCTTTCTGGATTCTGGTTATTCAACCTTCAGTCATCTCTAAACATTCATCTACTTTAACAACCTGCTGAACTATTTCAACGATCAGTACTAGAAACCACTCACTCACATTTAAAAGATGTGTCTCACCCTTACTCTCCATTATTTTGGGTGTGTCCACGAAGAATCATACGTTCGTCCATGCAGGCGTGATGGCATTCGCTGCAATATGATGTCAGTCCACACTTGCTATCTAAGAGCCGAAGTGTGTCGTGATTGTTGGATGCTTCCTGACTTTAGACAAGCCCCTAGTTATCAACCCGAGGAGGCAATGACAGAAAATGATGTATTGCGTTACCAGGGCTGGAATCTGGTATCTGAAACACAAGACTTACAAGCTCGCCTCCATAGCTTACCCCTCCCCAACCTTCTTAATCAATATGCCCACTTCTACTCGACCAAGACAGTGGTATTTGATTTACTTAATCAGAGTGCTTTGGGAGTACTTGATGAGATTGTTCACCATCATTTGGTGCCCGTTTTCCAGGCGCGTATCATTAACGGTGAGAATGTACCACTTGCTGACAGAATACAAACCCTCAATATTCGTCAAATTCTAGTCTTAAATTATGCTCTGGCAGATGCTTCTCAGGCTTTGGACGACGATGACTGGCGAATCGCGATGGGCTATAGAGCCTTTACAAATTTCGACAATTCAACACATTTCACTCGTCTTGAAGACCTGCAAGCAGTTATGGACGATTGCGGTATTTGCCGAAATCCTTTAAATCACCATGATGAAGGAGAAATAAATCGTGCTGTAGTAAAGACAATCTGCAATCATATGTTTCATGAAGGTTGTTTGGAGCGTTGGTTTGTGTCTTCTGCTCGCGGCGACTGCCCTATGTGCAGAAAATTGCTTCGAGAAACGGAACTCCCACAAATCCCCACCCGCCTAGAAATAGATGGACCTTTCCCAGAATGGCTAACGATCCTAAACAGGTGTATCCGCCCAGTTATTCCTCGTCCTGAAGCGACCACCCCTCCAGACATGGTACGACTGCAACTCGCGTTTGTAGACGCACGTGAAGCTCTCGTAACCGCCAGAGAGGAATTCATGCTCGCCGATAGAAGTGTGCGCACGGCAACAGAAGCCATCGACACTCGCGCATTCGTTCCTCTGGAAGATCTCCGTACATTTCAAGATCGATTGTTTGAATCCGCTGCGAATATCGAGGAACAAGATTTCAGAGACTATCAGTATTCACTTCGTCAACATCAAAGAACACGTCTCATACACGAGAATGTTCTTCGTGATTTGTTGCACGGGAGACAAGAGAAGGATCACGCATATGATCTCGCTCAGTCGAGATACTATGCTGCTGCGAGAGCGTTGAAGATGGCGTGGGATGTTGTGACAGCGCGGGTATTGGAGGAAGTTGAGGAGGCTGAGGGAGCAGAAGACTCTGATGGTTCTGATGCTGGTGAGCGTGCGATCGAACGGAGGATGATGAATAACTTATCGATTCACTAACTCGTAAAACTATCACCCTATTTCATTCTTTTCGCTTCATACGATAGCTGGTTCTATCTTCATCTAGTATCTTTCTTTCAATAACGATTTCCGTATTCAGATTTAATAAAATATAAAACACATAAATCAATACCAATAAAATTTCAATCATATAATCCCTGCCACGTGATTACATGTGCTAAATGCCAAATTCGACTAAAATCCCTCACTTCAAAAGCTTCTATATCCTGACCCTGTTTTCAGCCCACGTCAACAAATTCCATCCGAGTAATAGTTGCAGGTACACATCTTATATACCGCTACGGGTTATCTTCCCATAGATATGTAATAAAATCATTCCTGTACAACTGATCACTACTATCGAGCTAATAAACCGAACATAAAATTCTGAATCACGAAAATCAACAAGTAGCATTTCGAGTATACAATGCACACTTCAGTCTATTCATTGTTCTTTTTTCAACCTTTTTCTTTGTCTAATTCAATTGGAGTTGAAAGAAAATGTATCCTGAATAGTCATTTATGTTATTGAGAGAGAGTTCATTAACCCTTAAAGATTAAGCGAGTGCGGGAATACTAGAATGAGAGGGGAAGAGGAGCAGTGTTGAGAGAACATAAGATTGAGATAGAAGCATAAATTGATGTAGGAGTGAGAGAGGAGTATTACTGAGATGAAAACTTGAGGAAATCTAATAGACAAGACTTATAACAGAAGAACGAGTGGTAATGGGGAGCGATAATGGAAGAATGAAGAAAATGAGATGGAAAAGGGGCTTCGCCAGTATCATTACTTTTAGGGCCAATTAGCTTTCCTCTAAAGGCAGTAAAACGCCTTAAAATAGAAGGATTCAACTGAAATACTAGGCATTTGATGAATAATCCCTTGAAATAACGAATCAAACAACTCCGGTGGTCGCTGTAACCCTAACTCACGATGAGCTTAAATTGTTAATCTTTGCTAGGCTTTTTCGAATTTTCGAAAAAATACCGTATTCTGCCAGTCTAGATATGTCTGTGCGCAACCTTATTGGCAGGGCTGAAGCTAGCTGTGGATCAGATCCCCGGATTGTACTAGTAAAGCAAAGGCCGAGCTTTAGAAAGAAGTTTGGAATCGCGACTTATTAGGAATGATGATTTCTCAAACTATTATCTCTCGGTCAGTTATCGAAATCCTGAGAAATGCTACTTTTCCACTGATAAGATGAGCGAAGAACAACTAAAGCAAAAGTTAGTGTGAGCTTCGATATCGAGATGCGCTCAGCACCTTCGGAGCCTTATGCTCTTTTCAATGTATTGATTTGACTTTGATAACATGATAAGGTTAGAACCTTAGACCCAAGTTTTGATTATGGCTGGTCTTGTAAATTTGCGGGAGGGAAAAAGGAAAGGAAGGAAGTTAGACGAAGCTTTGAAATCTTTCTTTTGACGAGGCTCGAGTGAGGGTATGTAAGATGGACGTCGGGACTTTTCTTGTTCTTTAATTACAGGGGCTAATTGGGTTTGCAGGCTTTGCCAACGGAGAGGTACCGTAATGACATTTTAACTGTTAGGCCACGACCATCCTCGCATCGATACAGCATCCTATTACATGAGTCCTACCCACTCTTTGTCATTGAACCCTTGAATACAAAACGCGATGAACCAGATAATAATCTCCGGGGATCTCAACAATCAGCTTCGTAACCTTACTGTGGTAGTATTTTGCGCATACTTCCTAGACTGCACATGTACTAGGTTACCTAGTACATGTGCACCCATGACTCGTAGAATGATTGGTTACCTAGTCATTATGAATCCAGAGTACCACGCCTATTGCAGGACTCTTTCTAGTCATGATCAAGAAATAATTTTTGTAGATGTGGATGGGTTGTGAAACTATTAATTTAGTCCATATATATGTATGTATGTATGTATTAGGGGTGGAGGTGTAAATAGTAAAATCAATGAGCCAGGTAGTTATGTTCTATCAACCAATCAACCAATCCGCACCCTTTCAATGCGTCTGACAGGGACCTTGTAGTAGCTTAGTCCCCTTCATCATCTATGAATGCTCCTGCGCATTTTCCATTCCGCGTGTGGCCCGGGGGTATTTCATACCAAATCGACACAGCCCCTGTCTCGAGGTCCGCTGCGCTGGTGCGGTATCCAATACTAATTCACGACGTAAATTTTGGATTTTATAAATCTACAAGTGTCTCTGCAAGCACTTTGCTTTCTTAATCATAAATATCGTACCAAACATTGAATTCTCTTTATTCTTATTCCTAAGCTCAGTTATGAGTAAGTCATGTACTTCAAACAATATTTCACTTTGATAATCTTTTCTAGTTCTCGACAATACACTCGCTATAGTTTTTGGCATTGCATCAATCACTATACCTACATTCGCAGCCATAATTTTAAGACAAAGGACTTCAGTACACTACTCATCAAGTTAGTTGTATTTACTTACTACAAGTTCTCTATCTCATGAGACTTTCATATTTTGCAAAACATCTATGACGAATATTCCAGCTTGATGGAAACCATGCTAATTCTCCATTCTGCTAGGGGACCTCGAGCAATACGCACATCAACCCCCCCGCGAGTATATGATGATGGAGGAGTTCCGTTCAGTACGTCGCTGGCATGCGCAACGATAAGAAAACAGGCGGACAAGGCACAGGAGGAAGACGAGGAGGACGAGAAGTTGACAAGCGGCATGCAGATTTTGGTTCAGAGTTGGCATATATAAACGGCGCAAGTGTAGAGATGGGATTTCTGGGTTCGAATTATGCAGAATATGGTGAAATGGACTGGATATTTGGTGTATAAAGAGTTGAATCCGTGGTCTCATTGAGGGTGGGTGAAATGTCAAGGCCGGAGATCCACACGTGACTGTGTTTAAAAACAAGCCATTCCATCACGTTACCACGTGACTATGCCGGAAATCTTGACTGAAGCTGGTCAGCAGTGTAACGAACCTCGAGTGCAACTCAAATAGTATTATGCCTGCATCGATTAAAATCACCGTGAAATACCAACTTGCAAGAAGAGTGAAGTCATGTCGATATATGCGCCGGGCGTGCTTCTAAACCATCAACTTAGAGGTCATTGTCCAAACTGCCGCGCATCTTAGTCGTCTGTCTAATCCTTCTTGTGAGATTAAACTTCACCCTGCATACTCTTTTGTGAGCATTACACTCGTTTTGCTTCGATCGATTATCCTAGATCGATACACATAAGAGCGCTGTGAAAATGTCGAGGATGGTGTGAACAGATCGCGGTCGAGTAGAATAACGATGGATTCGCAAGGTAGCGACTTCGCATTTGATAGTTGAAGTTCCTAAATCAGGCTACAGTTCGAGCATGGATAAAATCTCGAAAAACGGATATAATGAAATCGCCAGTTTTGCGAGAATGAGATGGCCTGTATCGCATGTCTTCTCGTCGCGTATCGATTTCAAATGATCTTTGACAATGTCCTGATCAAGCTGGTGAATACTCAAATACCAGATTCGAGGTTCGGCTGTGGTTCGTGACGTTCCTAGAGATCATCTTTGCGGACTGTCGTGTTGTCGCGAAGAGAAATGTTGTGATGTCAAAGAAATGAGGCGAAAAGACAAAGCGACGTCAGGCTACGTCAAACCATGTGTGGCTTGTAGTCAGCCACTTTTGAATGATCACGTGAAACTCACCACTTTTTAAGACAAATTGATTCAGAGACTCGGAGATTTATAAGAGAGCACTTTCTATGATATAATACGTGGGTGCTTCGATGACATCTGGTGGACTCATTTACATAAATATGTGCTCAACAAGCTGCTCTGGTCAATTACTATACCATCTACTCACCAGGCAGTATTAGTTAGCGGCAATACGACAAAGATGATTTTTGCGGTTATGTCTACAACCTTCCGAGTCATAGGCATAATTGTTAATGGCAATAGACGTCTCCTCACGCTCACCAAACGATGAACTCATGGAAAATGGTCACGGGATCAAAGTAAGAAGAACATGTAAGATCTCAAGTCGGCGTAAAATCACTACCAATGAAACTCTCCTACCAACGCTACCCCCACATACCAATTAGACGCGCGACCAATAAAATTACAAATGTCGCGTTTGGCATGTCAAGCGAATAGGAATGATCGAAACATCCCGCAATCTCTGTGCAACTGGCCAAACAATGGTAGAGATCTACCTATTCAGGGGTTAGCAATGACGCAAAGTTCTAGAAGGGTTCGAGAATATGTCCGTGCGCTCGGTACGTACCGAGAGGTCTAGAGAGATTGAGGAGATGAATGTTCTGGGAGATTATTTTGGGGATATTGTAGATTTAAATTCCTCAGGCTATGAATCGATGAAAATGTTCAATTTTTACTTCTGATATTGGATATTATGATTTAGTTCAAAGATCAAATCTATGATGGTAACACGGATCTCTGCCCACTACTAGTTGGCGACAAGTTCCAGCTAACCGAGTCGGCCAATCGAAGATCTTTTCTCTCTTCAAAAACTCCGCCGAACGATACACTTCAGAACCCTGTCCAGTCCATATGATATCATCCTCATTCATTTGATACTAGGAAAAGAAGGCGAAAAGTACCACTATGACATTTGGCGATATATCAATATCTCAAAAGACTTCAAAATTAATAGAGTTTATGCTCAATCGATTAATTGACCTTAACATTCGATTCGCCAGTCAATCTCAAACAATGAGATTACAAATCTCATCAATATCAATAGAGCCTCGATCCATGATCTATCATTCAAGTACCCCCATTAGTATAGAATTACACAAAAGCCCCGAGAAAACCACAAATTGTCACCAGGAAGAGGTTGGTCAATTAGTACACCTCCGCATACACGACTATCCGGGTTGTATAAATGCTGCACGTTGATACTATCTCATTTTGACAAGTTATTATTTATCGGGTATTATCTCCCTGTCAAAAGCACAGCAATAGCTTCATAATCCTCTAAACCGTTGAATCGATTGTGCGTTCCGTCAATCCAAAACCCCGGAAAACACTTCTAGAAAAAATCTCAATCGTCAATGACTCAAAATCATTTGAGAATTCACGTTATTCTACAAAGACAGTCCTCTCGTATAAAGTCTAAACAGACCCACAAATAAATAGCATTCTTCATATTCAACTCTCCCGAAAATAGTCAGTACAAATTAACCCATCATGAGTACATCTTCTCCTATACCCTTTGAAATCTTTGAATGACAAGATACATCAGTCCTTTATGACACACTCACTATGATCAATATCTCAGAATCGCATCCATTACGATTCTCAAACTCACACTCACTACCATCATCCACATATCTCCGTTCACAAAGTAAAGCTCTCATTCTCATAATGAATCATCTTCACTTCATCAAGCGGCTATACAACACCAAAATTTCCAATCAAAGACCAAATCAACACCATACTGCTAAGAAAAGTACATCCCCGATATTCTCGAGGAGACACACCTGCAATTATAGAAAAGATACATCCATCTACAAAATTACCACGCAACGGACGGGGAAGTATACAGAGTAACCACAAGATTTGCAAGATTACAAAAAGGACTCTTTAAAGTGATATATACAAATCATCACATCAACGCTAAGCATCTAAGATTTCTAGATATTTGAAAAAAAGAAGAGAACGGGGTACAACTCCACATAGCCGGAACCAGGCGTTTAGAATTCTTGAATTCTTTCATTTTCCTCTGTCTTCTCTTTTCTAATATCTTCTTTCAATGACTAAGAGCAGAGAGCAAGCATATGAATTAACGGGACATTTTCCAAATATTGAAATTTTTAACAATTTCATACTTCAATTGTTTATTTCAATGAATAACTGAAGTGATTTTTTAAAATATAAAAGTCGAAATATTAAAAAAATATTTCCAAGTCCGTTTTTATAGTGTCCTGTTAGTTCGTACAACCACTGGTGGAGATATTCCTTTCCGCTCTTATCAATCCCTCTCCCTCAATATCCGTATATTTATTATTGAATATAAATATCAATATCAACATACTATATAAATACACAACCCTTCAACCTGCCCTATACCACACGCTAACCCCCCCCCCCCCAAAAAAAGCTCTTAAAACAATCAATCAATCACCCAAACTATTTCCTCAAAAATGATTTCCCCATTCAGTCTCTCCTTTAGACCTCCCAGCTGTTTAATCTCGCACTCCTTCCTTCTCCCCCCAGTTATTCCAACTCGAATCATTCAAATCCCTCCCTCCCCCTCCCTCCCCCTTCCAAACCCTTCCAACCCTTCCAGCCCTTCCAACACCATTCCAACCCCTTCCCTTCTCTTCCTTTCCCTCTCTTTTCATATTTTACCCAAGTCACATATATCACATATGTATACTACATACACAAATATCCTCTCCCCCTCTCCCTCCCCTTTCCATTCACCAATCATTCACCAACCCTCACACCATTCAAATCACATAAAATATAAAAAGAGGGTAAAAAAATAATGCATATCTACTCCAGTTCATTCCATTCATTTCATTGTATACATGCATACATCGGATATCATCTACTCCACCCCCCTTCACTCCACCCCTCATCACCCCACCTCATCAAATCATATGATATGCTAATAAGAGCAAGAGAAAAATAAAATATCATAACAGCATATTCAGTTTCATGTCTAATAACAACATTATTTGTGCAAATTTACCAATTCTTTGTTTGTATCGAGTTAACTTTCTCATTCCACCCACATCCCCACTCCCCTTTTGCTAGTAGCAATCAATACCAAAACTCCTTTATTTTCCATCAACTACACTCATACGAGAAAATATGAGAAATCAAAAGGAACCTTAATCAGTTCTAAACCCCTTCACCCTCCTCAACATGTATTTCTGTAGCAGGTTCTTCATCTTCTGCGGTATCAACCGGGATTTCGTAATTGTGTTGCTCTGATCGATTGCGTTGCTTTACAGCATTTGATATCGCCATCACCTCAAGAGGATTCGGACCCTCGACATCAGTATCAGGTATGTAGCTCTCCTGATAGTCTTCATCGACCGTGGCAATATTAAATTCTAGCTCTCGCTCATCCTTGGTAGCCTGATCTGGATTGGAACCATGTTCAATCCCATCGCTACCATACAAGCTACCAGCTTCGCCAGCTTCAGAAGCTGCACCAGAAGCAAATGTTGGAGAATTATGATTAAATGCTTGGAAACCCCATGTTTGTTGATGAAGATTTGGTGCAACATTATTTTGATCGGATAGGTCTACACCTTCGTCAGTTTCGGTACTTGCTTGGACGTCGCTATATGAAGGTAGGTATATAGGATGGTCGAAAAATGGTTCGTCACCTTGGTTAACATCGTTATCGGAGGGAGTATGCTCAAAAGCCTGTAGATTTACTGTCGTCATCGCCTCGCCATCCTCCGAACCAAGTTCTGGCTGATGGAGAGCTGCTCCGACTCCTGTCAAGGCGCTCGGCGACCCATGCTGGGAGGAGTTTTCGCCGAGGCGTCTGCCTTCCCCCGAATCTTCCTCATCCGAAGAAGCATTATCAAGAGATGTCACAATATCACGCAAAGCCTTACCACCAAGAGGTTCTGATGAACGTCTTCGGTAGAAAAGGAGGTATGCATTCTTTGTGACCATGCTGTTGAGATTTTTCGTTTCTGACACCGAAGAATCTGAAGAAGTTAGTTGGTTATTGGCATTGACTGAGTTTGGAGAGAAATCATACCATTGTATTCATACCACTTTTGATCAGAGAAGTTCTTCGCAAAAGCGGTATAGTGCCCTCCACCCATACCACCATAATGGTCATCGACAGCTATC